TTGGTTGTGATCCAAGAAAACCTTATTTACAGAAACAGGTGGCACTCTGGAGTTGGCCTGCCAGCCAGAGTTTGCCAACTCCTGATTTAGCACAATGCCTGGCATATAGTAGGTGCCCACATATTGAATGAACGAATGAATGAGGGAATGAAGATTTTTCTAAGGTAATGGCACAGTGATTTGTCTTAAAGTGTTCATGTACCATCATTAGACATTAACTACAAGGAGAGCAATGAATACCTCCTGACCAGAAATACGCTTGATAGAAATTATCTAACAGTCTTTCCCACTCCAAGTGGTGTCTGTGGATGGAAACTTAACAAGTAAAACCACTAACAGCTTTCATAACAGAGATGTGAACCAGAAGATTAGTTTAAAGAGGTATTTTTTCCAAACCACAGATCATGACTCTTGAATAAGTTGTAGCCTGCGTTTTTTTTTTTTTTTTCAAAAGATAAGAGATGCAAGGAGAAAAAGAAGAGGGAATACACCAGAGTCTATTATATGTAGTAAGCATAGGATTGTGTCTAAGGTAACTGTCTTTCACTTGTAAAGTACTTGTATGTGAGAGTATTCACATTCTGGGGTAGAATGTATTTCCAAAAAAGGTTGGAAAAATGTTCTATTATAATCTCATTCTATTGTAATCCCATTCTTGGGGAAATTCAGTGTATTTGTACATTTGAAGGGGATTTACTTCTTCATAGCAAAGTAGTTGAAGGCAAGATTCTGGAGCAAATTTCCTGGTTCAAATCCTGACTCTCACTTGTTAGCTGTGTGATCTTGGATAATTAAATTAGCTTCTCTGGGCCTCAGTTTCTTTACCTGTGAAATGGGAATGCAAATGATACCTAATTATTGTTGTTTAGTTGCTAAGTCATATTTGACTCTTTTGTGACACCATGGACTATAGCCCACCAGGCTTCTCTGTCCTTGCGATTTCCCAGGCCAGGATACTGGAGTGGGTTGCCATCTCCTTCTCCACGGGATCTTCTCAACCCAGGGATTGAACCTGGGTCTCCTGTGTTGCAGGTGGATTCTTGATCGCTGAACCACCAAGGCTTTCCAACAATACCTATTATGGTTATTATGAGAATTAAACAAGTTATCATATGTGAAGTATTTAGAGCAACATCTAACATGGAGTATAAATTTTAGCTATTATTATGTGGCCTTCCCAAGTGGCCCTAGTGATAAAGAACATGCCTGCCAATGCAGGAGACATAAGAGACGTGGGTTCGATCCCTGGGTTGGGAAGATCCCCTGGAGGATGAAAATGGCAACCTGCTCCAGTATTCTTGCCTAGAGAATCCCATGAACTGAAGAGCATGGAGGGCTACAGTACATAGCGTCGCCAAGAGTCGGACACAACTGAGGCAACTTAACACGTACACATGTATGCTGTCACTAACCAATAATGTGACCTTGAGTACATGACCTAAATTTTCTTGGTTTCATTTTTGTTGGTAAAAAGATCTCCAAAGGCCTTGCTGGCAGCAACATTCCAAGAAGGGATAGGAAGTGGTTTCCCAACACAAAACTGGAGGAAAGAAAATGCAAATCATCTGTCCTGTACAACGACACCTTGGAGGTCTCAGCAAAGCAGCCTGTTTTAGAGAAAAAAACCTGTAAGCCAATTTGTTGTTCTCTCTCAAAACTGCATGCACAGGTGAATTCAGGATGGTGAGAGATCGACCAAATCAAGGGAAAGGCAATCAGACCCTGCATGACTAGCACTGGCTTCCTGTCTCTTCCACTGTCGTGTATTTTATTCCATACACTGTGATAACCACAGCTGGGGGTGAACAGGACATCTGTCCCCACGGTTGTTTGGCTTTTTTTGTTTCCAACATTCCTGGCTGTGAAGTATAGTGTGAGGCTGCCCTGCAATTGTTCTGGGGTTGATCACAAGTCACCTTTCACTGTGGAATTTGAAGCCCCGTTTAGCACCAAAGATCATTAAAAAAAAAAAAAGAATTCCATTTACTTTCACACATACAAAAGAAGTCAACAGAAAAACAGGTGAAGTTATTACTGATTACTCACAAACAAAATGGTCAGTAATAAAGTTCTGTTTAGCCCCATTTGTAATTAAAGAAATGCACATCAAGACATTGAAATATTTTTTACCTATAAAAGAGGCAAACTGGTTAAAGTCAAAAAATAGTCAATGCAGAAAAAGATGCAGGGACACATACATTCTCACGCTTTCATGAGAGTCTAAATTGGTGAAACTTCTTTGCAGGACAATTTTGCAATAAATAGCAAAACAGTAAATATGTATAACCTTTGACCAGCCCTGAAACTAGGAAGGTATTGAACAAAAGCAGCCTATATAGAAACTTCTCCTTTGAAAAAAATAAAGCCCTATTTGTTTAATTTCTTGTCTTAGACACACATAAAATTATAGTCAGGTAATCTATTCCTTGTAACCTAACACATTCCTAATGGACAAATCTAAAAAAGAGGAGGGGGGTGGTAAGAGGACATTCTCATCTTGCACTAATTTTAACATTTCCCAATAAGCATAATATTGGCTTTGGAGAAGAATTTCACTCTCTACTTTTATCATACTACAGAAATGTTTATCTGTATTTTGATGATGAATTTTTTCTAACGGCTTTTCAGATCTTAGTGATGGTCTTTCAGTTTTTCGTTTTTGATCTATTTGTGATGTAATATTCTTTTGATGTGCTACGGAATTCTGTGTTAATATTTTATTTAGAATTTATAAAACAGTATTCACAAGTGAAATTAGTATGTTACTTTTCTTTATTTCCCCCTTTTTAATGAGTTCTTTTCATTGGATTTTTGCTGGATATATTACCACTGACTTAAGAAAAAAAGAATTCTGCCCATAGAAGGTTTTTAAAATGTAAATGACCAAAATTTTATTTCTAAATATTATATTTGTACTTTTCCAAATCTGGCCTATTTTTTCATAGTGGTATGTTCTATCCTTCCGTCTCTGTAATTATGTTGAACATAACTATTTTAGTCTTTTTCAAGTTGTTCTACTGCCTCAAGTTCTTAAGGAGCTAATTCTCCTGATTATCATCAATCCAGTCCCTCATGTGGTTCATTTCCTAGTTGGGTTTATAATTTCTTATTATAAACTCTATCTCCAGTGGAAGTTTTTTAATCTGTCAGAGATCGGAAAAAAAAAAAATGTGTTTTGCATTTGCTTCTGACAGGACTGGGGGATTCATCACTTTGGAATCAGCTTCTATATTCCTTCTGGACACCAGGGTTCTCTCAACACATGGGTACTATCGGGACCTCACAACTAATCATGGCAAAGGCAGGCTAGTGGTTTCAGTCTCTATAGCACATATTTTAAAATTCATCCAGAGGCCCCAAACAAACCACAAACTTCTTTGGTGTGGCCCTGGATGAGTGGGAGACTTTTTTCTCCTAAGATCCTTCCCAGGGTGTCAGCTTTAGGCAGGAGTCTCAAGTCCAGATCTCTGCTTTTCTAGAACCCAAGGTTTGTTTGGGTACCAACCCCAGTCCTTAGCCATTTGTGCTTATATTCATGTCAAATAACCCTATTTGCCTTTGGGTTCCTTCTTCCTGTCTCACACCTAGTGATCCCCCTTTCTTTCTTTCAATTGTTGATTTTTGACCCAGCATTTCTGTATTCAGCAGAGGTTCCCTGAATTCTTGGCTCCTCACATTCCCAGAAGTTGAATCTTTGTCCATTCCTGTCTTTTTAAAATATTTATTTTTAAAACTTTACTTACTTGGCTGTGCCAGGGCTTAGTTGCAGCATGCAGGAATCTTCATTGTGACATGCAGGATCTTTTTTTTTTTTTTAACCCTTAGGATCTTTTTCTTTAACTTGGGCTTTCCTGGTGGCTCAGTGGTAAAGAATCTGCCAGCCAATGCAGGAGACACGCGTTTGATTCCTGTGTTGGGAAGATCCCCTGGAGAAGGAAATGGCAACCCGCCCCATTCTTGCCTGCGAAATCCCACAGACTGAGGAGCCTGGCAGCAGTCCATGGGGGCAGCAAAAGAGTTGGACCACTTTAGCAACTAAACAACTCGAGATCTTTAGTTGTGGCACGCAAACTATTAGCTGTGGCATGTGGGATCTAGTTCCCTGAGGAGGCATCCAACCAGGGCCTCTGCACCAGGAGCTTGGAGTCTTAGCCACTGGACCACCAGGGAAGTCCCTGCACTTTCCTGTCTTTTAAAAACCTTTTCTAGAATAAGCACAAGGTGTTATGGAAACTACATGCGGGAGGGGAGTGTCTAACCCAGGCGTGGGGTTCAAGGAAGACTTCCTAGAGAAGATATCACCTATTTGGAGACCTTAAGACTGAGCACACATTAGTGATGCAAAAAAAAAAAAAAAAATGTGTGTGTACATCGGGGATGGCAGGTTGGAGGAAGAGGTGGCATGAAGGTTGCAGACAGAAGATAGAGCCCATGTGAACATCCAAGGGGGAAAAACAAACCTCATATCACATTCGGAGAAGCACAAGTTCCAAGAACTACAAGAAGTCTGGTGTGGAAAATGGAATTAGATATGTGTTTGGTAAGATAAGTATTAAGAGAGGCCAGCTCATGAACGACTCATGTGCCTAGATAGGAAAGTGGACTTAATGCTGAGAACAGAGTGGTGCTGAAGGTGACCATGAGGTCGCGGAGAGTGAAATCAACAGGTCTGAAAGAAAAACAAATGTAATAGATTTGTTGCCCCTATCAGTAAATATAAACCACCCTTAGAAAACCCCGAAACAACTTGGCATATAGGACAATCCCAGAGGGCATTCAAGCACTATTCTTGGCATTCTACCCTACACAATATAACCCTGATTTCTACTCCAAGGATTACAATGCAGGGTAGTGGTGCTCAGTCCAGGGTCCCCGCCTAACAGTAATTTCCCCCCCTACTTGGGGGATGGGTGGCTGAACACCTCACCCATCCAACTGGCAGACATTTTCAAAATCACCACCCTTTCAGGAAGGTTTCCACAGATCACCCCATTCCTCACCTCTCCCCAGCAGCCCCCCAAAACTCTACCATAACTGTCTCTGATATAAGGAAAGAACTGTGAGCAGCAGCAGAAGCTTGAAAACAAGAGTAACCTGGGCCAAGGGCCAGGGGGTCTATTTTTAGAACTTGTTCTCATTGCCTGTTTATCTTTCAGACTCAGCCTAATGTCTTCCAGGCGACTGTGAAAGCTATTTGGCTGGCTTGCGGAGGAGAGGAAGAAGGTGATCTAAAACCAAACAGCAGTGGCAATGGTGATAATCATTCAGACAGTGTGTTCTCATAATTTCCCCCAATGTACCCTCAGTGGCATTTAATTCCTGCAAAGCCACTTACCTGGGATTTATTCAAGCCCTTCCCAGCCACTTCTAATGGCTGTGGACTTTGGGCAAGTCACAAAGAGAAGACAATAGGTTATGGATTTCATAACCCATCAAGTCTGACCAGGGTACTTACAGTCCGTCCTGGCCTCAGTTCCTTCTTCTAAAATAGTGGTCTAACATCCCAACTGTAAACACGCTTTGGACAATAAAGCGCCCTCTACAGATGAAAGTATTTAGTAACGATGCTCCTTTGTGCCTAGTTACTCAAGAAAAGGCAAAGATGCACTCAATTATCATAGAGTTTGGTGAGTTATTTTAATCCACTTAGAAGTCGAAAGGAAGGACCGGCGTTGTGTCTCAACTTATATATCCCTCCAAAGGACAAAATAAGTGGCCCCTGGAATTCCACCGCTTGTAAAACGCGCCGCGGAAAACCCAGTGTCGGCTTGCAGGGACTTAACTCCTTCCTTTCCGCCCGCCCAGACAGACTTTTAAGGGCGTCCTCTCCTGACTCCCGGTCCATTCGCTCCAGTTTAAATCCAGCAGCCAGATTCCGTCTTGCCCGATCACCCTCCAGTTCGGCTGGCCCCTCTGGAGTTTCTGGGGTGGTCGACGGGCAGATCTCCGCAGGGGACGCTGGGTCAGCCGCCCCCTAACCCTCACGGTCCCCCTTAAGGAACCTCCGCGGCAGGGAGGAGAGGCGGGTGTTTTGTTCTTATAAGGAGGAAAAGTTTCTTTGACATCTAGGAAATGAGTAACTCTGAAGTCCTCTAGAGCCCGGCGGATAGGGGCCAGAAGGCGGGAGCCGGCCGAGGTATCGCCGCCCCCGTCCCTCTAATCGTCGGGCGGGACGCTCAGCAGCAGCCGCGGCCAGAAAGCGGGTTCCGGGGCCCCCGGGATCCGCGAGCGCAGCCGAGACTCGCGCGATCCCTCCCGCCTCGGGGAGCGGGAACCGAAGCCGAAGGTAAGTAGTGGGCCCGTGGCCGCGAGGTTCTGCGTCCTCCCGAAGCATCTCGTGCGCTGGAAGGAAGAGGGACCAGGCGGAGCTGCGCCGGAGATGGAGGCGGACTGGAGCGGCGCGCCCGCTCGGCCCCCCGGGTTGGGACTGACTTTGGGGACTAGGGTATGGCGCCCGAGCACAGGCGGGGGTGGGGGTGGGGGCCTGTCCTCTCTCTTTTCGCGCCGTGCGGGGTCCTGCATCCCAGCCTCTCCTCTCTGGCTTCTCCCCGGCCGCGGAGACCCCAGTGGGCGCTGCATTGCAGCCCCGCACGGCGGCAGCCTCTCCTCCCGGCTCACCGAGCCGCGATGCCGGAAGCGGGACAGCGTTATTGTTTCTACCGCCCCGAAGATCCGTTACTTTGGACCGTGTGAGCAGAGCTCTGGAGCTGAAAGAGTAGTCGAGTCGCCCTGCTTCTTAGCCAGCTCCCTTCCATGCTTCCTTCCCCCTCCTGGAAGGAGAGAGTAGGTATGAAGTCTTTGTTTTCTAGGTTTAACGTAGTGAAGCCATGAGGCTGCTGGAGGCGGGATAAAGCCCCCGCCGCTTCCTCTTTCTGGGCTGTTAGTGGAGGAGAGCCCACGCCATGCAGAATTTCTTCTTGGGGCTGCTGCTAGCCAACACCTGACCTCTAGTAGCATCCCAAACCCTTTCCCGGAGTTTCCAACTTCCGGCTGCGATTTGGAGGAACTCTGATGCTCCAGGACTAGGCTTCCCATCCAAAACGCTCCTTTTCTTGAAAAACAAAAGTGCTGTGTCCCAGGAAGGGCAGGTATTTTACTGAACCCCTCAGGAACCACACTTTGCCTTTTGCTCCTCTGAAAGCTGTGAGAACCACCCCTCCTTTCACTCCGACCCACCTCCCAAACTAGAGGAGTTCCAGGTACTGGTGGATCCTATTGAGTGTAAATCAGTTCAGAGTCCTATTTTGGTAGGGAGGAGCGAGTGGGGAGTGGGGAGGTTCTTCTTTTGGATTTGACCCAGGGTTCTTCCCTTTCATAAACTAGTTCTACTGCTGAGTGGCTGCCAAGTAAAGCAAACCTGTGCAGGGTGCAGTCCCAGGTCCAAGCCAGCCTTGCAAAAAGGCCTGGTGCACAGGTAGAATTGCTGCCTTTCACCTCTCGTCTATAGCATAATGGGCTGTGCTTTTGAGTCCTCTCTCCAGCCTACGTGCCTGAAGTGGCTTTCATTGTTTGCTAATTCCCTGTGTGCTGCTGCTGCTGCTGCTCCAGGCCATCCTGCCCTCATATTTTCCACTTGTGGGTAACCGTAAAGTGGTTAGGCTGACTCTCCAATGGAAAGAGTTTTGTTCAAGTGCCATCCTCCAGCTCGGCAATTTTCAAAGATGCAGCAGTTTCAAGCTCCAACTTTCGGGTGGCAAGGATCTGAACTTTTAACCTCATGCCATCAGCCCAGAAGTTGTCACCAAGAACGCCTCCCAGCTCCTGCAGCACGCATGAGAGAAACAAAGACAGGGTGTGTGGGTGAACTTTTTATCTGAGGGCAAAAAGTGGAGGAACTTCTGTTAGAGTCTTCTAGCAAAATTGCCCACCTGAAAAGGTATTGTCTGGGAGGAACCTGGTCTTGTGTTTTTTTCCTTCTTGGACCCCCCTGGGATCAATAAAGGGAAAAAGATGGAGGATTCTGTCTGGAGGAGAATTATCTCTGGGTGGAGGGCTGGAGTACACAGCCATGTTCTCACTTGTCCTCAGGGGAGAGAATGGAATGCCATGAGAGTTGGGAAAGTGTTTCTTGTCAGGGAGAAGGGAATGACTGGCAGTATTTCCTCCATTGATGAGAAACCTAGGGGACGGTAGCTCTGGCCTTCAGGAATCTCCAACTTTGTCACTCGAGAGGAGGAGGAGACTTGCTCTGTCTAGTCTCAGAGATTCACAGGGTGGGAGAAGCAGGAGATGGATTTTACTTACTCAGAGATAAGGAGGAACTTGCTGACCACTGGAGCGCCTCAGTAGTTAAGGCGCTGCCATCACTGTCAGGAGACAGGTGGCCATCAACAATTATGAAGGAGACGGTCCCTCCAGAGTCCCAGACTCTGTGGCTCCATATTTGGGGTGCAGAGTCCCCTCAATTGGAGGGCAGCCCTGGGGGGCCCTTGAGGAAAGCTTTACCCCACGAGCCTGCTAAGGGAGGGATAAGTGCACCAGATGTGCTAGACAGCTGAGGAGCAGGACCTCACTTGTGGCTGGGACTAATCTTGTCTAGCTGGGGAAGGGAATGGACCCAAGAGAGTGCTAAGAGCTGACAATAATAACCTCCAAGACTGCTGCTAGCCTGTTCGATCATCTGCATGAATTAGAACAAGGTGCTTCCTCTTAACAAGAAGATGACACCTTGGTATCATTTAGAAAACAGGGGCTTCATCTGAGTGGACAGAGCCAAGGCACATAGCTGTGCAAGCTGGCATGTGAGCTTGATTCATCCTTACCACTCTCCCAGCCAGCTGTTCTTGAGCAATATACCACCCATACAACCATACACAGCAGCCTGATAACCAATTATTGAGGGCTTAACATTTGCCAGGCTTTTTTTCCCCAAAAATCACTTTGCCTATATTAACTCATTTAATCTTCTCAGTAGCCCAGTGACATAGGTATTGGTATCGCCATTCTCTAGTTAAGCAAACTAAGTCACAGAGAGGTATAGTGTTCAGAAGCCTGGAAGTCACTGAGCATTCACAGAGCAAGAAGCAGGTGAAGTTTCAAAAGCTAGTTTGGTTGGGGCCCCTCCTGAGAAAGAGGTAAGAGTGATTGCTCTTTTCTTTGTCAGAGGAAGGAAATCCACTATCAGCTCAGATGGAGGAAGATGGAAAACTTACCTGGCAGCTGAAAGAAAGGAAAGAGAGAGGCAGGCCTGGCCCAAGCCTCAGATGTCTTTCCTTTTTAATCACTGGGCAGTGTGACATCGCACATCCAGTCTGGGGCCTGTCCTGAGTGTGATGAGTAAGTGCTGCCTGGGTGTGGTGCAGAGGAAAGGGGCCATGCAGGGTCCTAGACCTGGGCAGAGAATGCCTGAGCGAATGGACGATGGAAGAAGTATCTGAACACGCTGTCCTGACACTTGCAAGCTCTACAACCCCTATCCCTGTCCAGTGCTGTTCGTCTGCAAACGCCCTTCCCAAGCTCATCCAGAAAGACTTTCCAAAACTGCATTTCACAGCTCTGTATATATGGTCACTTATTTTTCACCCTATACATTGCAGCACTTAATTAGCTGGAATGGAACATTTTACTATCTGCTGTCTATAGACAGTATTTTAGACAAAATAGACATCTCAGCTAATGGGAAATTCATCATGGCCTTGGAAAGGGTCGACTGGTGCCTAGACGATTTCCCACGTCATGTAACCTGTCCCAGAATCTGGCTCTTAGCTGCACACATTTAGAAGCCCTATCTCCACAATTTTCAGAACAGTTTGGACTTGAGCTACTGAGTCGTCTACAGAGAACTCTTGTACACTGCAGAGTGTACAAATAAAATTGCTAGCGTATTAATTTGCAAGAAGACTTTGTAACCATTGTAGAGCCAGTGATACTGGCTTCTTGAGTCCTGGGCAAGCCACATGGGAAACTAAAAATCAGAAGGCAGCTTGTGCTTGGCACAGCTGGTTTCAGGTCAGGGGAGGCAGAAGGCAGGGGCAGCAGTGGTCCAACAGCATGGACTCTGTTCACTTCTGTGGCCCCGTCACCAATGGAGAG